CGAAAACCTGCCCTTCGTAAGCCACTCCGTTCGACTTCCTTGACACTTGGAAGCAAGGATCGCCATAAGGAAGCTCGGGGGCACTGGCTGGCTCGGCACTGGTGAGCCTGCGTCCAGCCGCCCTGACACGAGCGTTCAAGGCGGCCACGATTTTTGTCTCTGTCTTCCTTTCAATTCCTGCAAAGTTATTTTGACTCTATTCGTCTCATCTTCCCAATGTTCCTTTATGTGTCTTAACGATTCACATATACCAGATCTGTCTGGGGAGGCTCGTTGCGACAAACACATTTTCGGTTATTGATAGTTCCTGCTGCCTGAGGATAACACCCCTTCCCTCGCACGGTCAGACCTGTTCTGCTTTGACACGTCGTGTTTCTCCCGACTCCAGTGGGTTAGGGTGAGGTCTGGCTTAGAGTGGACGCTATCCCAGGCCAGTGGCCCGTGGTTCATGCAGCCGGTTGAGGGGTCACCGAGGCTGTGGGCAGAGGCAGCTGAACCACAGGGACGGCCAAAGGTCCAGCGGCAAGAAAGGCATTTTGGTTCTATTCCATCAAAACATGCTTAGGAAGGTGTTTACCTTTCGGCTGCCCGTGCAGCCTCCCAGCTGCCCAAGGGGTCACAGCCATGAGCAGGGACCCTACCTCCTCGACTTCTGCGGGGATGGCGTGTCACCTCGGACAGCCGGCACTGAGACTGCAGCTGTTCGGAGACATTTCTGCATCTCAGCCACTCTTGACCGTGACAACTGAGAGTCTACAGTTAGAGACACACCTTTTAAGTCATTTTTTTAGTATTTCGTGTTTTCTCCGACGGCTTCGTGTCAGATTTCCGTTGCTCCATTGGCTTCTGTGTGAAATGCCTTGCTGTTTTGTAATACGTTGCTAATTGTCACCATCTGAGTGCCCACCAACGACAGGGCCACCCCTGGATGTGTGTTAAATGGGGACTGTCTGGTTTCAAAAAGTTTAAACTTTATTTGATCGATTTGGAGTTGTGAAGAAGTGGATGCCCTCGGTCCTCCGATGAGACTCCCCCGCCCACCCCCAGTCCGACAGGAGCTGAGAGGGGTTGCTTTCTGTTAGGGAATCTGCTTCTGGCCCAGGTGGTAAACGGCATGAACAAAGGTGGAGAAAACGGAGCAGGCTGTGGGGGTCTGGACCCATCTCAAAAGCCCTGCATATTAAATTTCAAGCCACAGGTTCCTGCTGTAGGCTCCGCTCTGACCAGGAGAGGTTTTCTTAGCAGAGGCTCCCATACTCTCGGGGTAAAAATCTGTGGTGTGAGGTAGAAGCTACGTGTATACCACCAAGAACAGGGCTGTGTGTTATGTGCTACGTTTCTCACGTGTCCTCCATACACCTCCCCAGGCGCCCCTGTTCTTTTAAAGCTGGACATAGAGTCCATGCGTCTACTGCTCCTTTTCTAATCGGCCGATAGGGATCAAACAGCTTAAGTTGGAAGTAGAGTAAATACCCAATTTCTGGCCTATTTATATCCAAATAAGTTAATGTCCATTCTGTGTGTTCAGGAGCGGCTCTTCTACAAAATGTTAGATCACAAAGTACATCAGGCATTAAATGGGGGGTATTTTAATGGTCTCTGCCATGTGTCCACCGCTGCACTCAGTTCCGTAAGACAAGATAGGACGGTCCCCAAGTCAGAGCTGGTTGTCCAGGTAGACACGCCGGGTTATGACGCCAAAAGCCAGTGAGTAGTTCAGGCCAAACTTCACCCTCCAAGTCGGGGTGTAAGAGGAGGCATTGTTCGTGACCCTCGTTGGTCCTCGTGGGGAAGGTAGTGGAAGAACACCAGCAGGGGGAGCGGGAGAGGGAGAAGCAGGCCTCCCGCGGAGCAGGGAGCCCGATGTGGGGCTCGATCCCAGGACCCCGGGATCACGACCTGAGCCGAAGGCAGACGCTTAACGACTGAGCCACCCAGGCGCCCCTATACGCCACTTTTGACAGAATTTGTTGATCGATGATTTCTGCCTCTTCGCTCCCCGTGCAGAGCATAGCAGTGCCTGACGGGGAGGCAGATTCGGTTGAAAAAATGAACTTAGCATCAGCGGTGTATCTGCTATGAATATTTGTAAGAGCATTCTAGTCTTCGCACCGAGCGATGCTGATTTGTATGAGTTTTCCAGAGCTCCCTGTGATGACCCTGTGAAAATACTAAGCTTGCTTCACATTCTTATTAACACTGTCACCTTTTCTCATAAAAAATTAACAGGTGTACTTTCAGAGGCTGTTTTGCAAATCACTTTTGCTCAGTAGACGGTTTTGTAAATTAACTTTGCTCAACAGGTGGCATGGAGGCTCAGCATGGCACCAGTGTTCTGCTTTAAGTTCTGATATGGTTGTACCTGGATTCTGTGGGATCGAAAAAACTGTTACTATATTTGTATAATTTCCGGAGTATGCTTTTATGAGAAATTGCATCTGCCACCTTAGTGTATCTAAGAGAATTCTCATCTCTATTTCATCAACATCCCCATTTCAATTTCTTAGAAATCTACCCATAGGTTGGTAATTTTCAGAAATTTTAACTGCATGCAATACCAGTTAATTCTGATCAGAAAGTAACAACTGCAAAGTGAAACTGAGATCAAATTGATGAAACCCACCTAATGAAAAAAATGTAATACCATAAGTAGACTTTTACCACCTCAGTTTTAAGATTAAAATTCTTTTTTTTTAAGATTTTATTTATTTATTTGACAGAGAGAGACACAGCGAGAGAGGGAACACAAGCAGCGGGAGTGGGAGAGGGAGAAGCAGGCTCCCCGCTGAGCAGGGAGCCCGATGCGGGGCTCGATCCCAGGACCCTGGGACCATGACCTGAGCCGAAGGCAGACGCTTAACGCCTGAGCCGCCCAGGCACCCCTAAGATTAAAATTATTCAAACGGGGATAAAAGTTGCTTTACACAATTATGGACAACATATCATTATGACTAAATATTCCAAAATAATTTTAATTTTGTGTATCTCAGTAACAACATGTTTTTAGTTAGGGAACTATTTATTTTTATGTTCAAGAAATATATTCTAATGTTTGAATTCTTATTTTGAGGAAATTATTTAAAAAAAAAACCCAGGGGAAAAAAACAGAACACATCCTGATGATGGATACTCAAAGAAGCCACATTGTGATACAATGTTTGACACCTAATATAATCAATCCATTTATTGATAAGTTATTAATACAAGATATAAATTGATACACTCTTTTTCATTACTTCATTTGTTACCATGCAATGTAACAGGCCAAAAGTGAAAGTTCTTCGTAAGTGGGAATTTGAAAAAAAAAATGGAGCATTCTTTTTGGTAAATACATTTGCATTTGAAAATTGAACCTTTAGGGGCGCCTGGGTGGCTCAGTCGGTTAAGTGTCTGCCTTTGGCTCAGGTCATGATCCCAGAGTCCTGGGATCGAGTCCTGGGATCGAGTCCTGAGTTGGGCTCTTTGCTTACCGGGGAGTCTGCTTCTCCGTCTCCTTCTGCCGCTCCCTGCCCCCCACCCCCCGCCGTGCTGGTGTTCTCACTCTCAAATAAATAAAATCTTTTTTAAAAAAATCAAAACTTTATGTTCAGCTCCTGAGAATAACTAAATAAAATTCATGAATAAAAAATGAGAAATAATTTTATTCCTTTACTAGATATTATCCTCAAACTTCTCATGTGTTTAACATAATTAGTGAAGGAAAAATCTCTCTACTGTTGAAACTACTTGGTCTAGGCTCTGCGTGCACACACATGGGAAGAAGGAAACCCAGGGGGACATATACTGGTAGGAGGGGCCTGGGGGACACTTGCGGGGGGGGGTTGGCATGGGGGGGAGGAGGTCACAGGAAAAGTCATGCATCTGACGTAGGAGGTGTTGTTTTGGGTCCCGGGCACATCCAGGCCAGGAGAGGTTGGAAAAGCGGAGAGCTGGGGCTCCCGCACCGGGACGGTGACCTCTAAGGAGCAGTCTGGGGTTCAGTCACAAGCTGGGTGAGACTCCCCAACGGAGAACTGCGGAATGAGACAGACGGGGCAGGCGGAGGGAAGGGAGGGAAGAAGAAGAAAGTGACAGAGAAGGTTGTCTGCATCCCTGGGTCTCCAGTGCCCCAGACGGGGGCTGGCACAGAATAGGAGCCCAGTACCTGTACGCGGGCGGCTCGCCGAATGAATGAACGCTCCCAGCGCAGCCTTGGTCAAGTCCCTTCCTCTGTGGACTCCGGTTTCCCTCTGAGAAATGGCAATAGCAGCCTGGGTCGGCGGGCGTGGCGGGCCGCTGGTGTCCGCTGGAGGGCGAAAAGCGCTCAGTCTGCCGAGGACCAAGGCCTGGCCCCCTCTGAGATGGCTGGAGAGCGCGCGGGATGCGCGGGGCGGACAGGGCAAGGGGCGGGACGGGGGCAAGGGGTCCTGTGCCCAGAGCCGCGCACCGACGCGGCTGGGAAGCCCGGGGCGGCCAGCGGGCGCAGGGCCTGCGGAACGGAGGGCGCGGGGGCGCAATCATCGGCTCTGCCAGAGACCCGTCCGGGATGCGGGAGGTAGGGCTGGGAGTAACAAGGGGAAAAGGGGAGAGGGGCTGGGGAGATAGTTCTGAGAGACCCAGGGGCCGGCGGAGACTTTCGAATGGGATCCCGGCAGGTGCGGCTGCGGACGGGGGCGCTCGCCAGAGCCCGCACAAAGATCGGCCGACGCCCCTCTCTGGTCCGCAGCCCCGGGCGCGCCTCTGTCCGGGGCGGCGCAGGAAGGGCTTGGAGAGTCAGGAGGTGCCGGGGCTCAGGGCGCTCCTGGAGCGCGGGTCCGAGGCGCTGGAGTCCGCAGGCCCCTCCCGCCGCCGCCGGGTGGCGGAGTTGGGGGCGGCCCCGCCCCGTGACCGCGGGGAGGCCCCACGGTGGGGGGCGGAGTTGGCACTGCCCCCCAGTCCGCGCGGACTGCAGCCCCTTCTTAAGCCGGCGGAGCCTCTCCCTGCCCCTCACTCGCCTCTCCCGTGGGTGTCCCTCCCGCGCTATGGCCTCGGCGCTGAGCTACGTCTCCAAGTTCAAGTCCTTCGCGATCTTGTTCATCACCCCGCTGCTGCTGCTGCCGCTCGTCATTCTGATGCCCGCCAAGGTCAGTTGCATCTCCGCGGACCCCGGGCGCCGTGCGCCAGCAGTGGGCACCAACCCGGGGGCCCCGAGCTGGAGCGCTGAGCTGGGCGCGCCCTCGGGAGCCCCGGGTGCCAGATGGGAGGTGCCGACAAAGCATTTCAAGGGGCACGGAGACCCGGGGGCGCTCGGACCTTGGGGTTCACAGATCCCGGGGCGCAAGAACCTAACCCGGTGAGCACTGGAACCTAGAAGTTAGCACAGATCTTGGCCACACAGCCCATCCATAGGCTCAGCCCCTGGCTCAGAATCTCCTCAGACTGAACCACCTCATGCCTCCCCTTCACCCCCAAATGTCACCAGTGCCCACAGGGAGCCTGGGTGCCTGTCTTTCCCTCCCTCTGGTCCTGGCTCTCTCTTCAGCAAGCAGGGACTTCCCAGCCGTGTGTGGCTTCCGAGGTCAATCAAGGACCCACACAAAAAGATCACCACCTAAGCGGATCCCGAGTGCTGTCTTTTCCACTCCCTGGCCCCCTCTTGAGCCTCAGTTTCCCCATATGTGATCCACATTTCTTCCCCGCTCCCAAGCCCTGGAAGGCCCAGCTGAGTCCAAATCCTCTCCTGGCTGAAAGGCGGATCCGAGTTGGCCTTCTCCGCCCACCCGCAGCCTGCAACGGCTGGGCAGGAGGCAGCCGAGTTCCCAGGCTCGCGCCTTGGGTGGCACAACCCAGGGCTGCAGGGGAAGCCGCGTCCCTCGCCCTGCTGCCCAGCGCTCCCGGGAGGGAGGCCGAGGATGAATGGCCTTGGCCGCAGGGCGGGGGCGGGGCCGGGAGTCCAGGCCCCGGGCTGGCTGCGCTGGGCTGCGCTGGGCTGTGGGAGCCCATTTGGCAGAGGCCCGAGCCCTTTGAAGCCTTTTGTGGCTGCTGGCTGTTCCTTCCTCCTTCCCCCTTTCAGCGCCTTCTCTCTGAGCCCAGACAGGAAACCTCCGGCACCACCCTCCCACCCCATCCCCCACCCCCAGGCAGGTTTGGGAAACAGAGGAGCTCTTGAGGGGATGCTCTGCGGGCAGTCCTGGGAGAGGGGGAGTCAGGAAGCCCACCTGCATGAGAACGGTACTTCCACCATTCACTTGTCTTTGTGACGTTAGCCACCATCCTGTGCTTTCTGGGCCTTGCCATTCTCATCTGTACAATGGGCAAGCGGGTGTGTTCCCATGCTTTAATGACTTAGGGTGCCCAAAGCAATAATGCCAGTTCCTAGGATTTGGCAGGGGGGGGGAGGCTGGGAGGACCCGTGGGTGGGCTGAGCATAATCCTGGTGGGGCCAAGGACAGCAGATCTAGCTGTGGGCGCCCCCTTCCCCGGTGCCGCCCCAACTGTGAGCAGCCTTATCTCCTCTGCAGAAAGGGAGGGAGCCAGGCAGGAGAACTGGTCTTAGTTCTCCTGGCAGGGAGTGATTTTCCCTGGAATAATGATGACCTTCCTGCTCAGGGGGAGCGTGACAGAGACCCCACTCCCACCCTGACACACACACCCTTCTACATACCCGTGTGTGCACGCAGGTGGGTCCTGAGCTGGGACCCTCAACTCCGGTGCGTGTGCGGGTCAGTAACCTGCCCTGGAAGTGAGGATCAGGCCAGGGAAGGAGAGACAGGTGGGAGAGTCCTTCTAACGGTGGCCTGCAGGTGCTTTCCCTCTGGGTGGATCAGGCGCCTGGACCCCTGTGTTCTTGTGTTCTTGGCTTTGTGCCTCTTGTTTTGGTCACCGAGAAGGAGCTCCCACCCCCGCCCCCACGGCGGGCCGCCCCGTTGTGCAAGGAAACCCAGAGGTACCCAGCATGGGCAGGGCTCCCGGGAAGCCTGCGAGCTCTTGGCAGCGTGGGCGGCCCTGTCTGAGTGGGGCAGTGGCTCGACTGCGGCCCCCTCCGCTGGTGCGGGGCCCCCAGCGGCTCTCTGTCTTGTTCCACCTTGTTCCCTGCCAGCTTCATCTCTGCTTCACTTTTGCCGCCTTTTCTCTGGGTCCTTTCTTTAAAAGATTGCTCTTTAATAAGATAGACAATACATTCATGGTACTGTTTATTAAAATTATTTAAAAACTATTGTTTTCAAGGTCTGCAAAGTATGGAGTAAAAATGAAAACACCCTCAAATGCCGTAACTCACACCTACACACAGACATGCTCCCTCACCCACATTTTCCCGAAGCACCATGTCCTGGACACCTTTGCTTGTTAATAATTACACAAATAACGAGCTACGGTTTTAGTCAGTTGTGCATTGAACGCATAGCTGTTGAGCCCCACTCGGTGCTGGGTGCTGCCCTGTCAATCCACTGTCCACCTCCCTCTCGGCATTAAGTGCTCTTCCAGACACATCCCCACCTGATTACGCGTGGCACCTCCTGGAACCGTGCCTTGAAAATTGACGACACATGCCACTGTTTCTGAGTTTAGATGATAAAGGCCACCAAGCACTTTCTGTACACAGTACGTTAGTGGGTACTCTTGAGGGAACAAGGCAGGAGGGGGCTGGGGCTGGGAGCAGGGGAAGTATTTTATCAGTGACGTTGTTGAGAAATGCTCCGGCACAATGATGAGAAAGAGGAGGATTTGTGGACTGTGTTGCTGGTTGTTGTGTTTTCTTTTTTTTTTAAAGATTTTATTTATTTGGGAGAGAGAGCACAAGCAGGGGGAGTAGGCGAGGGACAGGGAGAATCAGGCTTCCCGCTGAACCAGGAGCTCGATGTGGGACTCGATCCCAGGACCCTGGGATCACAACCTGAGCCGAAGGCAGACGCTTAACGACTGAGCCACCCAGGCGACCTTGTTTTTAAATTCTCTATGATGCACCCCCTTATTGGCTGCCCCGGAGGGGCTCATTCCTACTTTCCCCCACCCCCCAGTCCAGCACCAAGGTCCAGAGACATGTGGGACGCTGACGGCCAGACAATGGCAGACAGTGGACAGGGATCAGGTGTGTCTGGTGACAAAGCCTGGGCTTCCAGCCGCACCGTGGTGCTGCCTGGAATCCCGTGGCTCCAAACAGCATTGACCCCTGCAAACCCTGAGCAAAGTCTGGAGACACTTTGTACGGTTGCAGCTGGAGAGGGTTCTCCTGGCGTCTCGTGGGGGCAGGGTCCATGGAGGCGGTGCCCAGCACTGCTCCGGCTGGCTCCCCGCCACAGAACATCAGTGCCAAAATGTCAGCTTCGGACACTAGGCAGGTGCCCTGGGGCGCTCCTGGGAGGCCGAAGGACAGCTTCTCTTTTGTGACTGAGAGCACAATGCAGATGAAGAATTTCCGGGTCCTCGTGCAATGTTCTGTGCATGCAGTAGGTGCTCTGGTGGGAGACAGGAGAGCGATGGTGCACACGTGCACTTGCCGTTGGGGTGACAGCTCAGCTCTGCCAGCCCACTCCCCTCATAAGCGCTCGGGCAGTGTCTCCCGAGGGTCAGGCCCATGCTGCGCGCCGAGGACAGTGAATCCACTAACACGGGTTCTCCCTGGCTGCTCACTGTTGGGTGTGTGTGCTGGGTAGGGGCCAGACAGGGGCAGCCCCCAGGGTGGGAACTGCTGGGGGCACAGAGCCAGGCTGTGGCGGGCAGGGGGGAGGCGCCCGAGGAGAAACGTGGACCCAGGCGGCCAGCGCTCCCTCCAGGCCTGGGGCAGCCTGCGCCAAAGTGCGGGTGACCCAGAGCCCAGCCTCGGGCACTGCCAGTGCAGTGTGGGGACTCGGGTGCTAGTGGGCAGGGAGGGGGGCTGGACTGGTCTGCACGGCCTGCTCCTCGCAGAGGGTCTCCCAAATCATGCTGAGGCAGTTGGGTTTGTCCTAAAGAAGCCTTTGGAACAAGGGAATGACCTGAACAGATTTGCAGATTGAAAGAGGGAGCCACGCGGTGCTGGGTGTGGGGAGGTCAGATTGGGAGGCTCCAGGTGGGAGGCGCGTGGGCGCGGTGAAGGTGCAAGGGGGAGGTGCTGGAGAGTCAGAGGTAGGAGCTGTAGTGTTGGTGGCTGATTTGGTGGCCGGGACGCTCAGGCACATCAGCCTGCAGGGGCGCACAAGCCTCCACACCGGGGGAGTCCTGGCGGAGGGCAACAAACAGAAGGGCTGTGTGGGTGCTGTTGGCCCGGAGAGCGCGCAGCCACCCAGCACCACGAGGACACTGCGTGGAGAGCCCAGGGGAAGATTCAAACTCAGAATTCTAAGCATGGCTCCTACCGCGTGCGTAACGGCTTCCACACACTGTAGGGTAGGAGGATGGCCAGGTGGAACCGTCAGAAGTGGGGGGGGTCTGTAATAATCTCCTCCCCACCTGCTCTTCCACACCCTCCCCTCCTACTCTGATGCCAGCGCCCTGCTCTGGCCCCCCCGAGCCGGCCGCCCCCCCGGCACCTGTGGTGGGAAGGGGGGCGCCAGCCCGTGGAGGTCTCAGGCTGTCTCTGCAGTTCGTCAGGTGCGCCTATGTCATCACCCTCATGGCTGTCTACTGGTGTACCGAGGTCATCCCTCTCGCCGTCACCTCCCTCATGCCCGCCTTGCTCTTCCCGCTCTTAAAGATTCTGGACTCCAAGCAGGTGAGCAGCCCCGGGCAGATTCTGGCATCTCCGCCACGGCGCACCCTCCAAGCCCCTCTCAGAGCTGCCTGGGCCGCGGGGGACCCCGTGCGTCTGGCACGGACGTCGACCGCGTGACCTCCCCTCCCCACTCCAAGTGGCCCTTGGAGTCAGCATCCGGTCGGTGCGCCCATCTTGGGGACCGGGGGCCCCAGGGCCACCCTGACAGGCCCCATGCTGTCCCCCAGGTGTGTGTCCAGTACATGAAGGACACAAACATGCTGTTTCTGGGTGGCCTCATCATGGCGGTGGCCGTGGAGCGCTGGAATCTGCACAAGAGGATAGCCCTGCGCACGCTCCTCTGGGTGGGGGCCAAGCCTGCACAGTGAGCATGCCTTCTCTCTCTGGCCCCGGGGACAGGAGCGGGGGTGGCTCAGACCAGATCACCCACAGGCCAGTGATGGCCACCGGCTTTCCTGGGCTTGGCAGGCAGGTGGCCCCCTGGATGGGCACGTGACAGTCTCAGCTGGGTGACCGGAGGGGCGTGTGAGCAGCAGTGGGTAAGGGCTCTTTGAATGCCCGGGGAGACTTGGCAGCAAAAGCCCCTGCACGTTCAGAAGACTTCCTGGAGGTGGGGCTGCAGGTTCCCCAGGAAACAAGGTGGGCGGAGGCTGGGTCAAGCCCTGCCTGAAACCCCTAGGGGTTTTGTGCAGAATGCAGGAAAGGGTTGTCTAACAATCCAGCTCAGGAGAAACAGAAAGGTCATCCCTCTAAAGCTGCCCCATGTATTTCTCCCCCTCTCTGCAAAGAAGCCCCTACCTTGCCTTCCCCCACATCACTCCATCCCTCAGCTTCTCACGGCTCTGCAGGACCTCCTCTGCCCACCACAGGCCACTTCCAGCCAGCCCATGGAGTAGATGTGAGCTGGACCCCTGGGTGTCGAGAGCACCTGCAGGACCCCTGGCGGACAGAGCGGTTTACCTGGATGGGGGGCAGGGGTACTTGTCCCTGCCACCATGTTCTAGAGCTGAGGAAGGGCTGAATAATTTGCCGATGGGCACATGGGACAAGACCGGCCAGTCTGAGCCTCGCCCCTTGCACTGGGGACTTGGGCTGCTCCTTTCTTCAGGGGCAGTGTGGTCTCTCAGGGATGGCGTGTCCCCAGCCGGGCCCTGGGAGGCCCCATTTGGTTACTTCATGGCAGAGCCCTCCTGGGACGTCCGTGTGCCAGGGACCGTGCAGAGGGCTTGTGACTCCCTGACCTGTTACGCTCCGTGGCCTCGAGCCACGGAGGGTTTACAGGGCTGAATGAAGGGCCACTGCGTGTTCTAGAGACTCAAGACTTCAGGGGTGGCAGTGTTCTCCGCCTCGGGATCCTTGACGGCTCTTCTCTGCCAGTGGGTGGGCCTCGTTCTGGGGTGCCGCTCAGGTTCGGCTCCCAAATCCAGGAAGGTCACACACACTTCGGCTCCCGCTGTGAGCTCAGCTTGAGCCGTCCTGGGGGCTGGGGGGGCCTTTTAGTTGAGCCCCCATGGGACCACGAAGCACCATGTCATTCATTCATGCAAACTCTGGCCCTGCTCCTGGCCTGGGTGCCAGCCTTTGATCTTACGGGTCCGTGAGGTCTGCCGACACGGACAGCAGCTTGAACCTTGGTGCGGTGCGCAGCCCTGGACCCCTTCCTCGGGCCGATCGGTGACCTCGGGCAGGCATCTGGCCCAGACGGTCATGGAGACCACGGAGCAGAATCAGACCCTTCCCCAGCTCACGGTAGAAGGAGGGAGCAGACGTGGAAACAGTTCCTCCAAATCCGGCGGGGGACGCGCGTCCGAGCGAGGGTGGAGGCGGTGTGCTCAGCCCTAGCTGCCGTGCGCAGGGAGGGAAGCCACGGGGAAGGGATGTCATGGGACAGGTTCTGAAGGCCACGAGGCGGTCGTCTCTCGTGGGGGACAGAGGTGGACACTGGGGGGCCACGGGGTGTTACAAGTGAGGGGAGCACGTTTCCTGATCGGTTTCTGGACCTGGTCCCCTGCCGCGTGGAGGTGGCAACATGCGTGCGTAGAGAGAGGTGGGGTCAGCCCGGAGGGAAGTCCCGCTTCCCCGGGCCCCTTCCACGGCTCGCCCTTGCAAGGTGGGAGCTCCTTACAGCCATGACTGGGTCTCAGGCCTCTCGGTGCCCAGGAGCCAGCCAGGGACATCAGTAATGCTTGTAGGGGCGAGGTGGGGGGGGAGGCCCCACGTTGTGCTCCCTCCCCCGCCACGATCCAGTCTTGAGCCGGCCGGGGCCCGTGGCACCCCTGCAGGGGGACCCAGCCCCCGTGGCTCCCTGGGGCATTCTCTGGCTTTCCTCCCCATCCCTCCTCTGCAGGCTGATGCTGGGCTTTATGGGCGTCACTGCCTTCCTGTCCATGTGGATCAGCAACACTGCCACCACGGCCATGATGGTGCCCATCGTGGAGGCCATGCTGCAGCAGATGGAAGCCACCGGCACAGCCACCGAGGCCAGCCCGGGGGGCCTGGAGCTGGCAGACAAGGGCAAGGCCGGCGAGCTGCCTGGTGAGCCCTTGCCCAGGGGCCCGGGGGGCCGCGGGGGCCGCTCTCCTCTCTGCCACCTGGAGCCCTCCCTCAAACAGGGGAAACAGAAAATGCTGCTTGGGGTTTAAGTTTTAGGAACGTGGCCGTTGCATAAAAGTTAGATCCTGCGGCAGAGCTCACGGCAAGATCCCACGCGTGGTTGCTGCCCACCGCAGAAACCGGTGCCGTCATCGATTATTCCTCTGGGCATCTTTCGAGCACCCACGGGGCGCCCCTCCCCCCTCCACTCCCACAGGTGTTGGAGTTCCCGACGAGGCCCCGAGCCCAGGGAGCTCAGAGAGTGCCTGCTTTATTCTCCGCCCCTTCACGCCCCGTCCCCAGGGCTGCGCTCAGCCAGCCGGGATCCGGCTTCAGGGGAGCAGCGGGCTGGGGACCACGTACCTGGCGGGCTGGCCCGTCCCATCCTCAGGCCAGGGCAGGGTCCGGAGCTGGAGCTGGAGGCCCGCACCGGCTCAGCCCACGGCGTGCCCCCCACAGGGAGCCAAGCGACCTTTGAAGGCCCCCCCGAGGGGCGGCCAGCTGACCAGGACAGGAGGAGCATGTGCAAGGCCATGACTCTGTGCGTGTGTTACGCAGCCAGCATCGGGGGCACCGCCACGCTGACGGGGACGGGACCCAACGTGGTGCTTCTGGGCCAGATGCATGAGTGAGTCGCGGGCACGTGAGGAGAGCCGGGGCTGGGGCACCCCCACCTTTCCTTCCTGCTGCAGCCCCGCACCTGCCCAGGACCTCACAGGCCTGCTGGCTTTCTGCTCTGGGGCGAGTCCTGCCCTTCTTCCCCGGCGCTCGCTCCGAGTGAGACTGTGCACTGAGCACCGAGCTAAAGTTGTGGCAAATGATGCTGGTCCTGGGTCACAACTTGCAGAAAATAGAAGTCCCCCTCACCACCGGTTTGCTGACCTTGGCTGTGGACAGCGGTGCCCTACGGCGTCAGCGAAGGGCCAGGGGTCAGATTACTTGTTGCCTCTACGTGCCCTTGGGGGGGCCCCAGGTGGACCACAGGTGTTGGACCGGTCTGCACCTTCCCACCTTGGCCACAGAGGGACACAGAGCGTGTGCAGGTGGGGCCGGTCCCACCCCGTGGGGCCCTGAGTGTCAGCGGACGGCTGCCCTTGCAGGGTCCCGGGCAGGTGGCCCGAGGGTTCCCGTGCAGATGGATCCCTGGACCAGGCAGGCAGGGCCGCTGGGAGGTGGGCAGGAGCCCAGCCCACAGACACTTGAGAGGACTTTCTGTAATGATAGACTGCGGTTCTCCCTGACGTCCGCCAGGGCAGCAGGGGGACCCGCGGGTCGAGGGAGGGCCTGGGGCTGGAGAGTGGGGCCTGCAGCACGAGGACCCTCCGCCAGCCCCAGGGAAGGTCCCCCCACCCTGTCCCGCCCGCCTCCAGGGAGCTCTGGAGACTCACTTTCCCGGGGAGTGAGGCGTCCAGGAGCCCTGAAGCTCGGGCCCAGCTTCCGTGGGCACAAAGGTGTGTTACGTTTGAGGGACGGGCGCTGACTTTTGCAGGGCCCCCAGTGGGGTCTGGACCTGCAGGCAGGGCAGCCAGCTGCTCCTCGGGCCTGTTTTGCGTGTGGCCAGGGGCCCAGCTGCTCTTCCAAGCCCCGGCCGTGGAGGTGGGCCCAGCGTCTCTCCCTTCATTCAGGTTGTTTCCCGCCAGCAAAGACCTGGTGAACTTCGCCTCTTGGTTTGGGTTCGCCTTCCCCAACATGCTGGTGATGCTGCTGCTGGCTTGGCTGTGGCTCCAGTGTGTGTACCTGAGGTTCAGGTGAGCGCGCTCTCATCACGCGCACCCCGCACCCCGCCCCCTGCACCCCTGCAAAACGCCCAGACGCAGCGGGGCCGGCTGGCCGGCGGCGCACTCTCCCTGCCTGGCCCCGGCCATTTCCCCCGGCCACTCACAAACTCCCCACCTGCTGTCCTTCTTGCTGGGAGGCCATTCCCTACCTTCCGGCCTTCCGACCCCTCAGCCTCAAGGCCAGCTCCGACCGGCCCCCCCGCAGGGACACTGGCCCCGACTCCCTACCCCACTGCGTGTCCCATGAGCTGCTCACTGGGGCCTCCCTTGGGCCGAGCTGGTACCACCCCTCCCTGTCCCCGGCCCCCGGTGGTGGGGGTAGGAGCAGCTGTGGGTCAGAGCAGCTGAGGAGACCCTCGGCCCCTGTGCAGACCTACACTTGGCCGCCGGTGCCCGTCAGTCCCCTCGGGTCTCCAGCCTCAGGACCTCATCTGGACCTAATTAGCTGCAAAACTCTCACCTGATGCCGTCACCCTGGGGCGTGGGGCAGTTTAGTCCATAAGGGTCCCCTCTTGGGGAGACCAAGGCCTGCTGGCCTTGACCGCCCTGAGGCCCAGGGACAGCAGGTGTCGGGGGCACGAGGTGTGGCCTCCCCGCAGCACGAAGTGGGGGGCTGCCCTAAAGCTGCGAGCAGGGGGCGCCGGGCTGGCCCCAAGGCCACTGGGGCACCGCTAGCCTCTGGGGGTCTCACTGTCAGGAATCCTGCCTGGCCTTCTGATGGGGGAGCCCTCCTGCAGCTGTGTTCAGCCAGCCAGCCTCATCAGCTCAGGGGCCCTTGCCGACCCCACGTGGAGCATGGTGGGGGGGGCAGCCCCCAGGAAGCCTTGATTGAGGAGAATAGCAGTGGATGTTCTGGGGCCCAGGCCATGCCTGCCGTGCCCCGGGCCCCATGGCCCCTGCCCCCAGGCCTTGTAGAAGCAGCACCTGCAGCAGCTGTGGGGGGGGCCCTTTCTGTCACCCTCACTCGGGTGCCTCATCTGAGCAATGTCAGGGCAGCTGTCTCCAACCTCATCCAGGAAAACTACCCTTCTGGGTGCACGGATGGCCTCTGAGGCCACATCCAGCCACAGGGGCCACTGGCCCCCCAGGACTAACAGGACATCACGTCTGGCTTGCATCCAGCTTTGCTAACCACGCTGTCCCCTGGATCAGGGATGGGGGTTCTTCTGGACCCCTGCCCTCCCGTGAAGTCTGCCCCAGGGCCCAGGAGGGACTCCCAGCAGGGAGGGCTCTCTGGGGACAATTCTCCTGGCCTTCAGGCTGCCTGGGGCTGGAATGCCCAGACGCTCCTGCAGACCTGCGTCCTGGGTGCCGCGGCCCTGGCCGGCCCCTCCCCGTGGCCGAGGTCCCCTCGGCACCTGTCCACGGACCCCTCCTCCTCCCTAACCTCACGCCAGCACCCCAGGGGAGCTCCTGCTGGACACCCTGGGCAGGCCGTGGCCGCTGGCCCCCGGGAAGCCCCCAAGGGCAGGGCCACCCGACACCGGCGCCCCCCGCCACCCCAAGCTGCCCCCCGGCTCCCTAGACCCGTCCTTGTCTTTGTGCCGCTCCCATCACGGGGCTTGGCGTCTCGGCTCCGGGCCCCGGTGGGACCACCGCCGGGTGAGGAAGCACCCCGCCCCCGAGCTGGCTCTCGATGTTCTCCCGGCCCTCCCCCAGATGATGGGAGCTGCTGGTTCCCGGGCGACCAGGCACCTGCCATGTCCCCCTTACCAGGGGCGGCCCCACCTCTGCCGATTTCTGCCTCCTTGGCCCTGAGACCCCGTCCAGCCTGGCTGCCCCACTCTTTGCCCCTCTGGTTCTGCGGGTACCGTGGGCCATGCGCTGGGCACAGACACTGCCTCCGCCGCGTTCTGCGGAGTAGCGCCGGCAGGGGATGGAAACGACCGGGGAGAGGCTGGCTCGAGGCTACACCGTGTGTCCTTCGCCACGACCTGCTGCCCGACGTCCAGGCTTCCATCTGGCCGTCCGACGGGCCCTGAGCCGACCAGCCTGCCTCACTGGCCTCTCATCTCTGCACCCTCTAGTTTTAGGAAGTCCTGGGGCTGTGGGCTGGAGAGCAGGGATCACGAGAAGGCTGCCTACCAGGTGCTGCAGGAGGAGTACAGGAAGCTGGGGCCCTTCTCGTTTGCCGAGGCCAACGTCCTGCTCTGCTTCCTCCTGCTGGTCGGCCTGTGGTTCTCCCGGGACCCCGGCTTCATGCCCGGCTGGGTGTCGCTGGCCTGGGAGGAGGGCGAGACAAAGTAAGTCGCGGGCTGCTTCGTCCTGCCTGAGTTCTGCAGCCCACTCTCTTCTCCCCGGTCCTCACGACAAGCCCGCAGGTGTGTCCCTGCTGGCCAGGCACGGTGGCGGGGCTGACAGGGAGAGATGTGCTGAGCCAGGAGCTCCTGCTTCCAAACCTCTGCTCTGCCAGCTTTCCGCCCTCTGAAGGCAGAGAGACCCGGCGGAGGGTGTCTGCGCTCCTTCCCTCCAGGCTGAGCTGTTCTGGGGTCAGAAGGAAGCAAGGTTCCTAGACGACGCAGGCGATGAGGGCGGGGGGATGCCCGATATTACACCTGCTGCGTACGAAGTCCTGCTGGGGTTAGCAGCCGGGCCCTTGCAGACACCCCGGGGAACCCAGGATCCTAGACAGTCTGATGGGAACACACGTCACGATGCTCGCCCCGGAGCCACACAGACCCAGAGGGGAGCGAGCGGCTCAGGGTTACCCCGTTGGGGCAGAGCGGGGCCGAGATGCGGCTGTCCTGGTTCCCAGCCACGGTTTCGTCTGTACAGCACTCCCGATGTGGGCTGTTGGCATTCCATCCTTGCACTCAGAGCTCCTGTGGACACAGTGTAGGTTTGTTGAGTGGAGGCCCCGAAGCCGGGCTGGGCACGTCCTGTGTGCTCTCCCCTATAGGTACGTGTCTGATGCCACCGTGGCCACCTTCGTGGCCACCTTGCTGTTTGTCATGCCTTCGCAGAGGCCCCAGTTCAACTTCCGCGGCCAGACCGAGGAGGGTAAGGCCTCACACTCATCAGGGTTGGGCCCTGAGGGAGGGAGCCCGCCCTGTTGGAGAGACCTGGCCTGACTGTCTGGGCGGGGGGCGTTCCATCCAGGCAGCGGGACGGTCGTCAGCCCTTCCCCGGGGACTGTTCAGTGCAAACTCTCTTCTCTTGTGCTCATTACACGTTGGAAATCTTATCAATATTACAACAGGAACAGAGGAATGTTCCCGATTTCCTGCAATGCCATCAGTGTATTTTTGACTTTTCTTCCTGACTTTGCTAAGATGCATGTGTATACACGGCTGCAATCCACACACACACGCGCGCGCGCACACACACACACACGCACACAGAGCTTGAATTCTGGTTCTCTGGCGTGTGGGTTTTCGCATCTTTACGCTGCGCACACGTCCTGTTAAAGACACAGCCTCCAACTTTATTTTCTCCAATAACAGCATCGTATCACGTTGAGGGGCTGTTCTGTTCTCCTCTTATGGAACATTCTGGCTGTTTTAAATTTTTCGTTATTATGCCATATACATTATAACATATATTATTGTATGTTTTCACGTATATAGCTTTTTCTTTGAGGGTGTTTCTTTAGGATAAATTTCCAGGAGCAATATTATTGTCAGAGTTATATACGTCTTAATGGCTCTTAAAATGTGTTGCCGAATCACTTTTCAAAAAGATTGTGCCAATTTCTATGCCGGCAGGAGTGTGTAACATTTCTACTACATCTTTACCAGCAGTAGATGTCGTGATTATTGTGAGTTTTAGCTGATTTATGGATAGGAGAGCTGCCCATTGTGCTCATGGGCTTCATTTCCCCTTGATTAGATCTCTTTTGCTTCCTGATTGGGCTCTGGGTTGTGTATGTGTGTTTTTATGGTTTCTTCTCAGAAAGGAAAACTCCATTTTATCCCCCTGCACTGCTGACCTGGAAGGTGACCCAGGAGAAAGTGCCCTGGGGCATCGTGTTGTTGCTGGGGGGCGGCTTTGCGCTGGCCAAAGGATGTGAGGTAAGGCCCCCGCGGCAGGCTGCCAGGGCTCCTCTTGCACAAGAGGGCATGAGAGAACTTTGTCCCTCCGCCCACACCCCTGCACTGCGGGCTCTGGTTCTGTGTCTGTCTGCTCCAGACAGCGGCAGGTGTCTTGAGGACAGGGACTCTGTCTTGTCACCAAGGAGCAGATGGACGGATGGACCTGGAATAGAGAAAGTGCTCTTTGAACGATTACAGCAATGAGTGAGTAAGTGACCAGGAGAATAAGTTAGCCGAGAGAGGTGGAGTATGCTGTGAGGTCTCCTTTGGGGTTTGGCGACAATGACCTCTGCTTTGATTTTGTTCTGGGACGTCTCTTTCTACCACACGCCATCTTGTTCTGTTCACTGAACTCTTCGTTCATATAGCTGACGTTTAAACACTTTTTTCTCTATCTAAAAAAGATTTTCCTCTATCTAGGTATATAGCAGCACAGAAGGAGAGGAACAGCTTTTGGGAGAAAACACCCCAAAATGTAACTTTCTCACTTCCCTCCTTTCTCAGTAGGGAAGAAATGAGGTGGATGGAGAGATGAGCCCACTTGGTGCTACTATCCTCCAACCATCCATCCATCCATCCATCCATCCTTCCATCATCCATCCTTCTGTCTGTCCATCCTTCCATCCATCCTTCCTTCCATCCATCCATCCATCCATCCGACCTTCCATCCTTCCATCATCCATCCTTCCATCATCCATCCATCCTTCCAACCATCCATCCATCTATCTATCATCCATCCATCCATCTATCCATCTATCTATCGATCTACCCATCCATCCATTCTTCCACCTGTCCATCCATCCATCCATCCATCCATCTGACCTTCCATCATCCATCCATTTGTCCATCCATCCATCCCTTCATCCATCCATCCAGGAGTAGAAGGTCATAGACAGACTTGGTCTATCTTGTTTCTGCTGTTCCTTCAGCATTTAGAATGGAGCCCAGTGAATAACAGGAACATAAATATCTTTTAGATGAATAAATCCATCCGTCTGGTCACCTCTCCATTCAGTCATCCATCTATCGTCTCTCATTGATTCATTCATTCATGTATTCATTCATTGAACATTCCTATTATGTCCATGTTTGATCAGGCCTGGAAATGACAGAGGAGGTTGATAACGTTCCTGCTCTGAGGCCTTTGCAGCCTGGAGAGAGGGTCATTTCTGGAAAAGCATGTCAGGAAGACTTGACACCCGAGCGAAGGAATAAGCGTGCAGTATCTAGCTCAGGAGCAGCAGAAGATGAGGCTGGTGCGGCTCGAAGAAGCCACTTCACTGAGAGTCAAGATAGGGGGTGTGGACTTCGTTCACTGGTCAACCGCTGAAGGGTTGAGGCCAGAGTGACTCAGTCAGATCTACACGTGGGGCAACCCCCTGAAGTGTGGGGTGGAGACCCAGGCAGGGAAGGGCTGAGGGAGACCCAGGCAGTGCTCGGTACCTTCATCTAACTCATTCTGTCCTTCCTCAGATTCCCTCCCCCTCTAAACCGTCAGTTTCTGGCTCAGATTCCTTTCCTGAGCATCAAGCGCTACAGGGGGCTGAGAGGTGGTGAGATGTTCTGGGTGACCGGGTGGCTGAGTGGGCATAAGGAGTAAGGGGGACAAGGCCCCCGGGGAGGCACCCAGCCCCGTAGGTTGTACAGCGGCAGGTGGATGGGGAGCCCCGGGGAGCAGGCTCTGGGCCAGAGAGGATGAATGCAGGCTGGGGCATGTTGAGTGTGACTCTGGGCCAAAACTCGGTGAGTGGACTGGCCAGGCTGGAAACAGACTTAGGAGACAGCAGGGTGAGGGTGGAGAGAGTCGGAAGCTCAGGAGGGGCTGAGCTCCCTGGAGAAGGACCAGGGTTGCTCCCGGCCCTCGGTGACTGCCCTCCCGTGCTTCCCAGGCCTCGGGGTTGTCCGAATGGATGGGGAAGCAGATGGAGCCCTTGCACTCTGTGCCCCCTGCAGCCATTACCTTGATCCTGTCTCTGCTGGTTGCCGTGTTCACTGAGTGCACAAGCAACGTGGCCACCACCACGCTGTTCCTGCCCATCTTTGCCTCCATGGTAAGGGACCTGCCGGGAGATGACCCTTAGCCCTCATGTCACAGGAAGCTGTCAACCAGCGACCATAACCCGAGTCCCTAGAGGGACAGTGAGACAGGGGGCCGGAGCCCAAGCACGCTTCCGAGGTCCTTCTTTGTATCCCCCATGCTCACTGAAGTGCAAAGCAAGAACCAGGCACTCAAAATTTATGTATAAATGTGGCTGATTATTTCTCAAGCTGAGGAGACAGAATTTGCAGCAAGGAGGGGTGAGCCAGTGCCAGGGAGGTGATGGAGGGTCTGGAGTAAGTAAGGGTACGTGGAAGGGTGGCCCGCTCTGGCACTTGGACTCAGCAATTTCATGTCTGGGAGCATATCTTAGGAAGATCATCAGGGGTGCTCACAAGCCTACATTACAGAACTGTTTGTTACAAACATGTTTTCATAGCAGGAGGGGATAGAGTCATACGATAGAATACCATCAGGCATTGGGAGGAAATCACAGTTTTGAAGGGCATTTAAAGTTGAAAACGTCATACACACAAAACATCATACATAAAATGTCCATTAGCCCCAGAGGGTGCACAGACCCTGACCCTCCAGCCTCCTGCCGAGGGACAACTTCTGTTATTAATGTCTTAGGTATATCTTTCTGGAAGTATTACACACACACACACACACACACACACACACGCATTCTTTTTAGACAAATGGCATCACTGTATGGTTCTGTTTCGCACCTTCATGTTGTTTTCCTCTAACCACCGGTCAGGGATCTTCCCGTGTTAGCAGATCAGACACAGCCGTGAGCCGCCCTGTTGTTTGTATGTTTTAGTGGACCCCTGCTTCTGTGGGGGTTGGCGTATCGAGGAGTCTGTCTCCTGAGTGTTTTGCTGATACAATGTCACGCATGCGTCTGTCCTCATGTGCGTGCACATCTGCACAATGGATTGTGAATTTTGATAGAGGTCAGAACATATTGTGAATTATATCATTCATTCATTCAACGGACATTTTAGTGAATGTCTACTCTGCGCTGGGGGCGGCTAGATGTGGCTGAATTTTAGGCTGTAGAGTAAAAAATGAGGGATACCAAATTCCATATGCAAAACGATCCCCAGTATGTGTAAGAACAGGTGCATCCACACGCAAGAAGAGGTGGGCCCTCTAGGTCTGGGGCAGGACAGGCAGACAGGTGCAGGGGGTGGGCCCGCGGGAACACCCCCAGGTTCAGTGCAGTCTAAGTGCCCAGCGTGGTCTCTGGCACAGCTGGTGGCCAAGAGATATATGCTGAATGAGCAAGGGGGTTCAGAAAGGCCTCCCCGGGAGGGAGCTCTGAGGTCAGCCCTCAGAGTCCAGCACGGTTGTTATCCAGACCCATGGCAAACAGTAGAAGGGTCAGTGGGACAAAGGGCAGGGGGCTGGGAATGCAGCCAGGGCGTCAGGGGGACACTTTTCAGGAAGCGCGTCCCGGGAGCTTTTGTCTTGGGCATCTGTGACCTTGCCGTTCTGTGTTTCTCTGCAGTCACGCTCCATCGGCCTCAACCCGCTGTACGTCATGCTCCCCTGCACACTGAGTGCGTCCTTTGCTTTCATGTTGCCTGTGGCCACCCCACCTAACGCCATCGTGTTTGCCTACGGACACCTCAAGGTTTCTGACATGGTAACGCAGGCTTCTGTTGCTCCATCAGCTGTGACGTTCTGTCGTGAGGGGCGGGCACCCCCTTTCTTACTGACGTGTGACGTCATATGATGTGTCCAGTCCTGTACCCTTCCTTTGCATTTATATGCAGCTTTGCTTCTTTTTGGAAATGATCTCAAATTTCGTAGACCGTTCTGTCTCCCAGAGCTGAGAGGTGGGTTCCGGAAGCTCCCACCTGGGGAGCCCTTGCCGAGCCCCTGGAAGGGGTGAGGGCGGGGTCCCATGTGGCCAGGATGGGCTTTGCAAACTAGCAAGAATGTAACACCAGTCGCGGCGGGGGGGGGGGGGGAGAGAGAGAGAGAGAGAGAGAGAGAGAGAGAGAGAGAAACCACTGCCTGGGAGCAGGTGACGCCCTGGGAACAATGTGGACAAAGAAGGACCCCCTCTCTTCTGCTGTGTCTCGTCACCTGTGAGGGGAGGGGAAGCCAGAAACAGAGGCTTAGTTATTGCAGAGTCTCTGCTGGGCGTCTCCAGGGCTCCCAGTGTCCCGTCGCCCTTGTTCGGACAGCCCGGCCCACCCAGGGGGTGCTGACTCTGACCCTGCTTTTCCCCCAGGTGAAAACAGGACTCATGATGAACATAATTGGAGTCTTCTGTGTGTTTCTGGCGGTCAACACCTGGGGACGGGTCATATTTGACTTGGATCATTTCCCTGACTGGGCTAACGTGACGAATATCGAGACTTAGGGACAGCCGCACACCACCCCGCCCTCCTGAGGACCCCTGAGCCTTCCAGCACACCTTGCAGCAGAGTTTTGGGGTTCACTCCCCAAAGTGATCCAGTGATGCCCACACCCCCGCGGAGACCCACCCAGGCCCAGGTTCAGAGCCAGGGACGGGCAACTGCTGGGCGGAAGTGGAGGGAGCCTCCGGAGACACTGGGGCGTCTGATCTTCCCGGGGGAACTGCCATCCCTCTGGGACAGGTAGGCTGCAGAGGGACCAGGACGCAGGCTGCCAGCTGGCCCCAAGCTGGGCTCTGGTGTCCACTCGCTTTGCCCCAGCGTCATCGAGGTGGGGATCAGATCCCAGCTTGGGAAGCAGGAGAACGTGGGCCTCCTGCAGCTCGCCTCGGGCTGCCTCCGGGCTCTCCTGTTACCTGAAGGGACAACCCCACCCCGGGACACAATATCTGGTCCTGGGCAGCTTCCTGCCACTAAGAGCAGAGCCTCCTGGAACCACAGGGAGAACAGTGCCACCCCCGAAGGATGAGGAATTTGGGCTGAGAACTTCCGGCCGCCACTGCCCACAGCACGCCGCTGGCTAACCTGCTCCCCTCCTTACCTTGCTCCATCTTAGCAGACAAGTGGACCCCTTTGCTGTCCTCCCATGCACCCCTTTGTTGTCTGGGCCGACGTGTGCTTGGACCCCCTGGCCGGGGCCCTCCAGCACACCTGCTTCTCCCGGGCGGCTCGGCTTCTCCGGCCACCCCACGCAGCTGGGGTCACACTCCAAGTACAGGCAGCGATGGCTCCTTTGGGGCCCCCAGTGGGTATCTGGGTCCTCTCCCACCTGCAGGCTCAGAGTGGACGCGGCTGTCACCAGCCGGGAGCAGGGGCCCGTCAGAGCTGGTCACGGCAGGGTGTGAGTGCCCCTTTGCTGAGCGGCCTTTCCAGCCGTGCCTGGTGGCAGCCAAGGTTGCTGAGAACAAGCCGTGCTCGGTGGCCCCTGAGCATCTGAAGTTGCCGGGGCAACGCTTGCCGAGCGGCCACGGGGACCCTGTGACAGAGATGTGACAGACACCCACCCCCACCCACCACCCTCCTTTTCTCTGTGCGAGAGGAGTGGGGACAGGAGCGTATTAGGTTTGTTGACGGCATCGTTCGGGGCAGGAGAAAGTTGGGAACTCAAGGAAACGCCCTCGAGGATGGGGACGTCCCCTCGAGGGCCGGGGTGTCTCCAGCTCCTGCGGGGGGATGGTTCCTGACGGCCCCGCGTGTCTTCCACAGGGAGGGGTGCTGGCTCCAGCTTTCTGCCGTGGCAGGGGCCTCGCCGCCCCGCTCCCGTCCCTGGCTCTCCGGCCGGCTCCCTCCCTGGGTCCTTGCGGCAGCCCCATGAGATAGACTAGAGTTGTCACTCTCAGTTGTTTCCGAGGACACCGAGGCTCCACGGGGCCCAGTCATGTGTGCAAAGTTGTGTATTAAGTTAGTGGCAGTTAGGGCCCCAACCGGACCTTCCACCTTCGCGTCCACTGCTCCTCATCTAGCCGTTAAGGCCGTGGTCCCCCAGGAGTCTGCAGGGAACGGTGAGCACGTCTGCCCCACGGCCTGCCTGCTCAGGGAACGGTGTCACGTGAGCTGCTTCCTCAGAGGCGGGCTGAGGACAGCGTGGGGCGTCTAGCTGGAGAGAGCGCGAGGGTGGCTGCCCGTCCCCTCCAAGGCAAGCCGGGCCACTCCTGCTGTGGACGACTCAGGGAGGCCCCAGGGACCTGTGCTGCCTGCTGCTCCAGCTCCAGGACGCTGGCTGACCCGGAGCGGGCCACCGTGCGTGTGGTGGGGAAGGACAGAGCGATCCGTGCGGCCGGTCGGCGCACATCCAGGGGTCATGAGTGAGGTCACCAAGGCCATCCGGGGTGACCAGGCTGCAGTGGGGGGGAGGTGTGCGGCTCCACGCGGCTGGCAGCAAGCTGGCCGGGGGCTTCTGGAGAGTGGCCCCCAGGCTGAGGACTCTGACCACAGTCTGATGCTGCACAACTTCTCCTGAAGCCGGAGCTGCTCTGGAGTTTAGGGCCCATCAGGACTGGGTTTGGCTGCAGGTGACGGCAGCATGAACCAGGCGGGCATTTAATGTCGACGGGACAGGGAGTCGGAGGGACACGGCTGCTGGGGCCGTGCCTTCACGGCCACACCCGAGCCTCGTGCATGCCGCACACACGCGTGTGCACTGCAGGCGGGAGGAAGGGGCGGGACGGGGCCTGCTGCGTCCTCCCCTTTCTCGCGAGGCCGGCAGCCTGCCCTCCGCGTGTAACAGCCCCACTCGGGCGTTGACAAAGGCTAATCCCAGCATCGAGCGTGGTCAGTGTATCAGGAGACCAATCAGGACTCACCTGGGCTCAGGGAATGGGCCGGCCTTTCCTTAAACCGGGAGGTTTGCACCCACCACAAAGTCTGGGTTCTGGCAGGAAAACAGTGGGCGTGCTGTTGGGTTGGTGACGAACAGGGTCTGTCCTCTGAGCCTTTCAGGGGCTGCCCTCCCTCCAGGCTCCTCTCTGGGCTTCAGTTTCCATCAGGAAGGGGCCCCTGTCTGGGCTGCTGCAGCCCGGCCCCCCGCCCCCCGCGGGCTTGGCCTGGAGTCTGTTAACTCGGTCCCCCTCTGGTCTTCGCCATTTGCTGGAAGTCCTCTCAGACCTCTTCCCCGTCACCATTTTGCCTCTTACATTCTGTAATGAGGTTCTGCCCCAGAGCCCTGTCCTCTCTTCTTAGCCCCTGGATCAGACATCTGGGCCCGAGGTTCGCTGAGCACACAATCCTGACCGGGACTGCTGTCTGAACTGGGCACCAGCGACTTAGGACTCCACCAGGGCCCCGTGCCTTGCAGAGGTGCTCATCCACGACCCCAGAACTGGGGTGTTTCCCTGTCCCGCAGGGCTGAGACCTTGCTTAGGGAAAGATCTGAGGCTCCCTCCTCGGCAGGGCCAGTGAGCGGGTCCCTCCTCCCATCATGCCTCTCACGCCGGCCACCAACGGACAGCAGGAGGTCTGCTCTGGGTCCCGAGCCGGGCAGGAGCTCAGCAGCAGGTCCAGTCCTCAGAATGAAGACGGGCACGTCCTTGCTCGTAGAAATAAAGACCAAAGGCGGGACCGTCTGGTTAAAAGCTGCACATGACAACCCTCCTCTTGGCTCTGAAACCCGTCTTCAGCGTGCTCCCTCCCTCTGGTTCCACAGCCTCTTAGAAGCTGTGTCTCCCAAATCGCCAGGGAAGCTTTATTTTTATAAAAATAAAAACAAATAAAGTTCCTCCAAGATCACTCCTCCACGTCACGGGAGGGTTTCCACGTCCTTCGATGGAAATCTTGTCTCTGAAACCCTTGCACTCGGATATTCAGTTTTATTTCTCTCGATGTCTGGACTCAGGACTCGGGTTCTCGCGTCCCTGGTCTGCTTGTCCGAACGCCCACATCCATCCTTGGAGACGCAGGCTGCCCCTGGCTGGCCGCCGTTGGCACCTGCTTCTGGCCCTCAGGGGTCGAGAAATACCAGAATTCAGTCTCAGAATGCTGTTATCCCATCGGGAAAGCTTGGCTAGTTTTTGTCTTTAAGAAGTTTACATCAAACCCATACAAGAAACCCCCATAGTGCAAAACAGGGTTGAGAGGTGTCCCTCCGGCACAGACCTCGAGGCCTCCCGCCGCCCCCACCCAGGAGGGAGCTGCCCACAGTGTCTCCCAAGACCTTCCAGAAACATGCCCTATATATAAGCTTCGGCTGTAGACGCACGTCCTCTTCAGCACACGGGGGAGCATCCCCATGTAGCGTCTGTCCTTGTTTCCACCCCCCCCTTAATTTATTTGGAGATCATTCCATTTCAGGACCTATTAATTGTGACTATCTTTTCATTTAATAGCTGATTTTGTTTTTAAATTGAGGTAACATGAAATTCGGCGAATTCCACAGATCTTCAGGGTACCGTTCAGAGTTTTAGACACCTGCATGCACCTTGTAAGCAACAGCCCCTCCCCGTTCCCTTCTCCCCCCCTTTCCAGTACCCCGTCCCTCCCCCGAGGCACGGGCCCCTTTCGCTCCTTGAACTTCATACAAATGGAACCTAATGCACATACTTGTTCCCGTCTGACATATCTGCTGAACAAAACACTTCTGATATTCCATTCCTTTGTTATTGTTGAGGAGTGGTGCTCTATGGTGTGAATAGGCCATGGTTTGTCTGACCTTCGGGGTGTCCCAGTTTGGGGCTATCGTGAATAAAGCTGTTAAGCTCTCTGCACGAGCCTGTTTGTGGACATGTGTTTTTGGTCTCTCTCCGGTGCGTGGCCGGGAGTAAGCCCCAGCCTTCTTGGAAGCTGCGCCGTGTTCCATCGTGAGCCCAGCTCAGAAACAAGCCCTTACTGACGGGCATCCGGGTCCCTGCCAGTGTTTCCCTAACACTGTAATAAACGTGTCCCCCCTTACATCTGCGTGAACCTACGTGGGGAGAGCACTTTCCTGAAGGGTGGGCTGGATGAAAGGCTGTGTGTACTTAAGCCTGGGACAGATGCTCCCCAGGTGCTTTCCAAAGAGGCCTGGCCAGTATTTATTCCCGAAAACTGTGCACGAGGCCTTATTCCCGCACATCTGAGCAACTCTGTGTATGATCAAACTTCTCAATCTTTGCCAATCTGACACTTGAAAAATACTACCTCATGATTTTCATCCCATTTCCTTAAATTACATAGAATGAGCAACATCAATTTTTTTCACATATTTACAACCCGTTTGTGTCTCTTTTTTTGGTGAATTCCCTCTTCCCCACTTTTTTCCAAGAGTTTTTTAAAAAGCCTTTTTCTTATTCATTTGTAAGAGCTCTTTATATATTAAGGAAACTAGTCATTTGGCATAGGAATATTTATAGTGTATGCTAAGAAGCTAGTTACTCTCTATTCTCCTTCATAATCTGCCCCCCACCCCCGCCCTAGCGATTCTCACAAACTTTTCATAAGAATTTCCGAATCAGCTTCTCTAGTTCCAAAAACAACCTGGTCAGCGTT